ATCTTCATGAGTTCTCACTTGCATAAAAATTTGTCTGCAGAGCTGAGACCTTAGGTAAGTTAAGTCAATCCCTTACACATTAGTTTTCTCATATCGAAATGGACGTAAACATGGTAACTACCTCATGAGAATGACTGTGAAGGCTGAGAAATACAAAGTACATGTAAAGTACACTTGTCACAGTGCCTGGCACAGAGTAGGTGCTTCTCAGGGCTGTTATCAGAGAACATAAACTTATATTGCAAATAAAAGAGTAGAGTTGGGGGTGTAGCTCCATGGTAGAGCACTTGCCTAGAATGCACAAGGCCTTGATTCCATCCCCGGTATTAAAAAAAAAAAAGAGTTAAGATACTCCTTGAGGTCCAAGTGTTTCATATTGGACTTGGTCTAGACGCTAAGTCTAATTAGTTCCTTAGTTCTAAGTCAATGTATGACCTGATATTTCCCAAAACTCCTTGATGTTGCTGGATGCACTTCATCCTTCCCTTGAAAGTCCACAGATACATAGGGCTCCACTTGTGCAGTACAGAGAACCAGCTCTCATTGTGTCTGACAGCTTCCCAGGCCTTCTCAGTATATATAAATGGGTGTTTTCAAATTGGCCAGAAAAAGCCCAAAGTAAACAAAATAACTGGGTGTACCATGCTGGAAACTGGCTGTCTGAGGGCAGAGGTGACAGACAATAAGTATGGCATAAAGGACAGAGTGCTAGAACAGTGTTAAAAAAATTAGGACTCCAGGGCTAGGGGCATGGCTCAAGTGGTAGAGTGCTTGCCTACCAAAGCCCTGAGTTCAAACACCACTACCACCAAAAAAAGGAGAGGAAGAAGGAAGGGGGGGGAGGGAAAGGGGGGAGGGCAAGGAGGAAAGAAAGAAAGAAATAGGACTCAAGGGCTAGTTTGCCACTTTTAACTGGGTAAACAAGTTTCTTTACTGTTCCTGGTCTCTTTACAAAATGGAGGTAGTACCAGATTAACTCTAAGGTTCCTTTTTTAGCTCTAAAACTCAAATGACTCACATCAGAGGTTAGGACCTCAGTCTCTGAGGACAGGCTGCCTGGAACTCCAAGACTTACAAGACATGGGACCTTGGACAAGTGATCTAACCTTATTGTGCCTCAGGGTCTTCATCTGTAAAATGGGCATAAGACCTGAACCTACTTTCCAGGGATGTTGTAAAGACTCAGCGAGCTAACAGATGGAAAGCATGACAGGGACCGGTACTTGTGCACTAAATAACAGTCACCTTAGAGCTGGTGGTGCACACTGGTAATCCCAGCACTCAGGAGACTGAGGCAAAAGGATCTGAGTTTGAGGCCAGATGGGCTATACAATGAGGTCAAGATCAGCCTGGGCTAATCTGTCATAAAAAAAAAATAATGTTAGCTTATGTATTTTCTGTGGCAGAGTGTGTTGTTTGTAAGACTCTGCAAAGTCACTTCATTCTCCTCATCAAGAAGATTTATAGGCAGGATTTCCTACCCAAGGCTGAAGAAGAACCCCATTTCTGTTGCCTTCTTGCTACATCGGAGGGGTTAGGAGGAAAAATCACCAATGGTCAGAAGGAAAGCCTCTATAGTGGTAGTGGTACTCTAGTCCATCCAGGCTCCAGTAGCCCTCTATCATCCCCAAGTTGCCACTGCAAACACCAGATGCCCCAGAGAGACAGGCAGGCCAGTACTTCAGGAAACAATGTGCTCTCAGGTTTTCCTTTGGGATATCTGCCATACCATTCTCCCCCTGCTAAGTAACCCTAACTTGAAGACAGTTCTTTTGGGGGACCAAAACATTAAGAACGACAGACATGCCAGGCACCAGTGGTTCACACCTGTAATCCTAGCTACTCAGGAGGCAGAGATCAGGAGGATCTCTGTTCGAAGCCAGTCCGGGCAAACAGTTCATGAGACCCTATCTCGAAAATACCTAACACACAAAAAAAATGGCTGGTGGAGTGGCTCAAGGTGTAGGCCCTGAGTTCAAGCCCTGGAACTGCATAAAAAAAAAAAAAATGACAGACACATTTTTACTTTTCCTGCCTTCTTACAAGCTCACAGGTTTCCACTTGTTACACCCAAGTCTATTTTCCCCTGATATCATTATGCTTTCTTAACTTTCCTTTCAAGTGCTATGCAAAAGTTTTTACATGTCTACAGCTTCCCAGGGTATCACACAGAGGAAAATGTGTATTCATATCCACATTTACAAGTAAAACCAGCACTTTATAGAATCAACAACTTTAGGAATTACAACCACACCCTTCCAATGCTCTCTTCAAGACTCAGTGCCAAGGATTCGTTTGATTCCCATCTGTAAGGAAAATACTAATTTGAAGAAGACCAAATAATCTGGATTGTGGACAATACACTAGAATTTCTTAAACTTTAAAACTATGATTTAAAGTAGGAGCAATCATTATCCCTTGAGTATACAGATTTTTTTTTTTTGGGCACTGGGGTTTGAACTCAGGGCCCACATGTTGAGCCACTGCACAAGCCCTTTTTTGTGATGGATTTTTTCGAGATAGAGTCTCACTATTTGCCCAGGCTGGCTTCCACCCTTGATCCTCCTGATCTCAGCCTCCTGAGTAGTTAGGATTACAGGTATGAGCCACCAGCACCTGGCTGGCCATAATTTCTTAATTAAATGGCCTATAGAGATTTCCTTTATAGGGCAGGGGAAAGAAAGTAAATACCATCAACCAGGTCCAGCTGACTTCATCCCCTGTGCCAAAGGGCAAAAGTCAGGCAGGAAGGGACACTGATTTGTCTGAGGAAAACAGCACAGGCTGACCTCACTGACAAGGTTCTCTGGCTCCAGACGCCCTGAACTTTCCTGATAGGAGTTGGAAACTTCATTATTTGAGTTCTGTTGACATTTCAAAAACAATCCTCCCAATAAACACAAGAAAGTTCTATCTGGAATTAAAGCTAAATACATAAGCTATTGATTTGTGAAAAAAAGAAAAAAAAAAACTCATGACACTGAGTTCTTATCTTACAATGCTCCTTTCCTCTGATTTTGATATAATTTTGGAAATCTTTTCATGACTTCCTCAAGTGTACACAAATAGCTTTCAAATGGAGAGCCAATCCAAGAGATGATTTTTATGACTGATAAGGTCTTTCTTTAAAGAATGACATTATTATTACAAAACCTAAGGCAGCAAATTTTTTTTGAAAACACATTTTCTAAAAGTTATCTTGGATCCTAAAGGTTCCAGAACAGCGTCATACAAAGTCTATAATCCAGCTGGGCACTGATGGTTCATGCCTATAATCCTAGCCACTCAGGAGGCAGAGATCCAGAGGATCTCAGTTTGAAGCCAATCTGGGCAGTTTGCAAGACCCTATCTCAAAAATACCCAACACAGCCAGGTAATCCAAGCTACTTAGGAGGCAAACATCAGGAGGATAGCAGTTCAAAGCCAGTCCAGGCAAATAGTCCATGAGACCCTATCTTGAAAAAACTTGTCACAGAAAAGGGATGGTAGAGTGGCTAAAGGTGTAGGCCCTCAGTTCAAGCCCAGTACTGCCAAAAAAAAAAAAAAAAAAAAAAAGCCTAGAATCTATCTGTGATCTTAATTCCTCCATGTGACTAATAAGATTAATACCACCAAAAAAGGGGTTGGATGGAATTCAGTGGCAGAGCACATGCTGAGGATGCTTAAGACCTGGGGTTCAATCCTCACATCAAAAAAAAAACTTCCTCCAAACTCCCTAAATCATATCCTTCTATTCTTGCTCAAAAAATAAATTTCAGGGTCAGCAGAGGGTTCAAGTGGTAGAGTGCCTGCCTAGCAAGCTTGAAACCCTGAGTTCAATCCCCCAGTACTAAAAAAAAAAACTATAAATTTCAAGTCTAATCCCATGCTTCACTATTCTTGAAAGCAAACTCCTTAAACAGACTGCCAGACTAAGGACTCCCTGCTATTGGATGCAGTTACTAAACTTTAAGTGTTTCTTTTTAAAATTTCTTTCCCCTTTTTTTGGTGACACATGGGATTGAACTTGGGGCCTTGTGCTTGCTATGCAAGCCCCCAGTTCTTTTTGCTTCAGTTATTTTGAGGATATGATCTCATGTTTAAGGCAGGGCTGGCTTGGGCCTCTATCCTTCCCACTTAGCTTGGAAGACAAGTGTGTATGTACCACCATGCCAAGCTATTGATTAAGATGGGGTTTTGCTAACATTTTGCCCAGGTGGCCTCCAACCACAGTCCTCCAGCTCTCTACCTCCCAAGTAGCAGAGGTTATAGGTATATACCACCATGCCTGGTTATTCTCAAGATATTTTTTTTGCCTGGGGCTGGCCACAGACTTTAAACCTACTACCTCTGCCGCCAGTATAGCTAAGATTATAATCATGCATCATCATGACCAACTTGTTCTAAGATAGCGTCTCACTAATTTTTTGCCCAGGCTGGCCTCAAACTTTAATCTTCCCATCTCTGTCTCCTTAATAGCTAGGATTACAGGCATGAGCCATTATGCTGGCCCTGAATTTAAATATTTCTTAAATTACTGGCAAAATTGATACACTTTTGCAGTACTAAATTAAGTGAATTGTGGCAGAAAAAAAAGACCAAGTTGAAAGTGTGAGCTATACCTGGACAAAAAGCTAGCCTACTAGGCTAAGGATTGTTAGAGAAGCTGATTAAGAGCAAGCAGGACGCAGACCGTTTCAGCAAACTGATAGCTATTTATTAATTATCCACTATGGACAGGGATCACAGGAGAGGACAGAAAAAGACACACTCATCCCTAACATGTGCTCTGGAATGAGGGAGTTTGAATATGGCTCCACCAGACGTGTTTCTCTGGCAAATTTCTTAATTTCTCTGAGCCTCAATTTCCCTATCTGCAAAATGTGGAAACTCCATTTCATAGAGTTTTACTAGGAACTGAGGAAATATGTCTCTCATTAGATATCAATAAATGTTATTCCCTTCCCCTCAAACACTGTCAAGAAATCCCTATCTCATAAGTAGTAAACGTAGTGTTCTACCTGGAAAGGGTCTGTCTTCATCACCCCCTCCTGGGGGGACTCCCTTGTTTTCTGGCATGTACTTCTTGGTAATGGGCAAGGACATCAGCCGAATGTGACGGATGAGTGAACGCCAGCTGTGAGCTCCAGAAAGGGCAGGTTCAGGTGCTAATGGGCTGAAAGGTTGAATCACAAAGTAGGCAGAAAGCAAGATTAATCCCAGAGTTAAGACGACCTACAAGGAAAGACAGGAAATGGATTAATAACTTTTCAAACAAACAAAATATCTTAATGCCAAGACAAACAAAAAAGCTCTCTTCTCCTACTTCCAGTATGCCTTAAGAATGAAGTTATTTTCATAATTAAGCCATTTCCTGTCACCTCTGAAGGCAATTAAAGTTTGAGAACTGCCAGGCGCTGGTGGCTCACACCTGTAAGCCTAGCTACTCAGGAGGCATAGATCAGGAGGATCACAGTTTGAAGCCAACCCAGGCAAAAAGTCCATTGAGACCCTATCCTGAAAAAACACTTCACAAAAAAGAGCTGGTGGAGTGGCTCAAGGTACAGGCACTGAGTTCAAGCGCCAGTACCACAAAAAGAAAAAAAAAGTTTGAGAACGATGAGGACAACAAGGCTCACCAAGCTTCTATCATACAATTAGGGCCATGTCCATCATTAAAAAACACATACACAAATATAGATTAATTCTAAACATACAGCTTTCATCTATGTCAATTAACAACATAGGCAAATTTCCTAGTAATATATGGTAACAAGAGCAAAGGCCAATTTATACATAGAAAAACCAAGGTTCAATGGTGGAATCAGTTAATTGTAACATTCTGGGCAAGTGCTGAAGCATCTGTGTGCTAAGTGATTTCCAAGCAATACATTTTTACCTTATATACAGCTATAAGGAGAGGATACTGAGGTGGCCCCCTCTGAGGTTCATTCTTTTCCAGCAGCTGTCTGATAAATTTTTCAATTGCCTTCTCTGACATACCACATTGATGGCCTGTCTGTCTCACCAAATCAACAGTCTCTGAAAGTTTGTCATAAATGCTGATCTCATTAGCAGCAAGATCCATGTCTTCTAATACAAAATCCCTGAGAGAGAGAAAATAAACGCAAAAAGAAAGATGGTTTCTTTAAAGTACTTCCTCCTCAAAGCTACTTCCTTTAGAGCAGTGTTTCTTGACCCTCTGAGGGAAGGATCAGTTTTGTGGTTTTCCCTATCACTGCAAACACTTTTATTAAACACAATGCAAAACTGTCACATGTACGAGTTTTTATTTTTTATTGATTTTGTTTTGAGATGCTATCAATGTTGCCAAGCTGATCTCAAACTCCAGGGCTCAAGCAATCTTTCTGCCTCAGCTTCCAGGTGGATTACTGGTGTGTACCACCACTCCCAGCTTATTATAAGTTTAAAGTATTATTTAACTGTGACCTATCAATAGTTCACACACCAGCACTGGTTCCCAAACACTTTAAGAAGCACCTTCTGGAGTATAATAAGTTCCTACTGTGATTGTGAAGCACTACTAACATCTAAAAAAAAAAGATTTCTGAGACCAATTACAGATCTGCTACTGGTCATTTACTAAAATAAAAATAAATGGAATATAAACAATGATATTGACCAATTATTTCTTCACAATCATACCAGATATTTTTTAGCAACACGAAAGGAAGAATGGTCACTAAAGGTAAGATTTACATGAGGGAACATGCTGATGAGCTTTGTTTGGGGCCAGAGCAAGGATTTTGGACAACACAAAAACCATAGCATGCAGTCCTTGTGCTTTTCCACAAATATAATTTAAGACAATAAAGGACATTTTGTTTGTATTTCACATACTTACAAAACCAAAGATTTACACTAATTTCCTTATTCAATTTGTGCATTGAAATAGTTATCTCGAAGTCAGATTGTTTCAGAGTGGCCACAGAATAAAAGATTCAAAACCAAAGAAGAGCTGGTCGCAGGTGGCTCACACCTGTAACCCTAGCTACTCAGGAGGCAGAGATCAGGAGGATCATGGTTCGAAGCCAGCCTGGGCAAATAGTTCACAAGATCCATCTTGAAAAAAATCGTTCACAAAAAAAGGGCTGGTGGAGTGGCTCAAAGTGTAGGCCCTGAGTTCCAGCCCCAGTACTGAAAAAAATAAAACAAAGTAGCAAAGTAAAGCTCTGTATTATTTGCGAAATGAACTTAGATACCAATTCTTTTCAAATATTTGTCTTTATACAGAATGAAGAACAATGCTTAGGGTTTATGCTGTCATCTACTGGGCCTTTTTTTTTTTAATGTGGAAGGTCCTCTTATCACTTAACTCTTCAATTCCTAAAGTACTTTTTTTTTTTTTTAAACTAGGGTTTGACTCAGGGCCTCACGCTTGCTAGGCAGGTGCTCTACCACTTGATCCACTCCACCAGGCCCCCTAAAGTACTTCTTACCACAAAGAGCACTGACATGTTATGCATGTACACAAGGTACCCTTGTGTTCTTTTGGGAAGAAGGTGCTGCCACCTGTAGGGTAGAGGATAAAAGCCATGTTGCTCCCATAGAGAAAAGAAGGCCTGAATTTGCCACACAGGTCAGCTTTATCTCTTCCAGCAGACCACTTCCCAACAACTCCTTTGGCTCTTACTCAAAGTGGCTTTTTTTTTTTTTTAAGACCACATGGGCCTTTGTTTCAGGGTTCTGATTAAACTCTGAACCTGCATTTCAGGTTCAGAATCTGGTACAAATTTTATTTTAAAATATGTATCCTGGGCTAGAGTATAGCTCAGTGGTAGGACCTTGCCTAGCATGCACAGGTTCTGGATTTAATGCCCGCCACTACAAAAAAAGATGAAATGACAACCACAGAATGGGAGAAAATATCTGCAAATCTTATGTCTGATATGGGAGTGACATGCAGAATACACAAAGAATTCTTACAAATCAATAATAAAAAGACACCACCATAAAAATGGGCAAAGAATAGCTATTTCTCCAAAAAAGATCTACAAATGGCACATGTACACATGAAAAGACACACACCATCATTAGACATCAGAGAAACGCCAATCAGAACCACAGTGAGACACCACTTCACACACACAGGGATGGCTGCAACCAAAAAGGTCAGTGTTAGTGAGGACATGGCACAACTGGAACTCTAGACTGACATGGAAGTCTAGAGTACACATCAGGTCAGCACAGCACAGAGGTTCTGATTTAATGGGTGTGTGCAGGTATGAACATTAAATAAAATCTCTCTAAGTGATTCTAATGTGCAGGCAAGTCAAGTTTAGTGAACTGTTTACAGGCATAAAGAGGTCAAACAGAAGAAGTCATTGGGAGGCTGAGGTGGGTGCTATATTGTGACATTTCAAGCCTCCTTTTCAGGACATGACTGTGGTCCTCTCCACGGCAGGTGGCAGTATATTCTTACTGAAAGAACTCATGTATACCATCTTTGTGATTTTTGAGGTAGGAAGCACTATGAGAATGAAGTATGTGAAATAAAAAGCCCCTCTATATTAAATTAAAAAATAGCCAGGCACCAGTGGCTCACACCTGTAATCCCAGCTACTCAGGAGCAAAGATCTGGAGTATCACTGTTCAAAGCCAGCCTGAGCAAATAGTTCACAAGACTCTATCTCAAATTAAAAAAAATACTCAACATAAAAAAGGGCTGGCAGAGTGGCTCATGTGCTAGAGCTCCTGCCTAGCAAGCAGGAGACCCTGAGTTCAAACCTCAGCACCAAAAAAAGGAAAGAAAAAAGTCCAGCACACTGCTGGTGGAAATATAAAATGGTGTACCAATGTGGAAAATAGTTTGGCATTTCTTCAAAAAGTTAAACAGAGTTAACATATGACCCAGAAATTCCACTCCTAGGTAAGTACCCAAGAGAACTGAAATATATGTCCATATAGAAAGTGTACATGAACACTTATAACAGCACTATTCATAATAGCCCAAAATGGAGGCAATTCAAATATCCATGCACTGATGAATGCATAACAAAATGTTGTCTATCCATTTAATGGAATATTATTAAGCAATAAAAAGGGATGAAGTACTGATAACTGCTGTGACATGAATGAACCTTGAAAACCATATGCTAAGTAAAGGAAGACAATCACAAAAGACCACATATTACATGACTGAGTTGGTACGAAAAACCAAGAATAGGCAAATCTGTAGACAAAGTAGATTATTTAATGGCTGCCTTGGGGAAGGAGTGGAAAGACTGGAGAGTAACAGGTAATAGGTACAGGATTTCTTTCTAGAGTGACAAAAATGTTCTAATTTTAAACTGCAGTGATGGTTACACAACTTTGTGAATATATTAAAAGTTACTGAACTGTACATTTCAAATGGGTGACTTTGTGGCGTATAAATTATATCTCAAATATTTTTAAATATTTAAATTATTAAATAGAATTTAAGCTAATTCCTGTTACAGTGTTTATCACAGTATACTATGTCCCATCCCTCCCACTGCCCAGCCACTAGAGTGTAAGGTCTATGAAAGCAGGAAATATCCTATATATCCTTACTATGGTACAGTGCCTGGCATGTAACAGGTATTTGAATATATTTGTTGACAAAAACAATGATAAACTGGGTAGGAGTTACTGAAACTGGTATTACAAAAGGATTCTTTTAAAAATCCAAAAGGTTGTTTCCAATATAGACTGCCTTAACACATGTGCTTGCCAACCACAAACTACTTGCAACTCCTCATTACCACTATAAAGGAAGACAGTCATTCTAGTTCACCCACTTCAAATGTCTTACTTTCTGGTGGGGACATGACTTATTGAGACCATCCAGTCAGTTGTCACCTGAGCCTCATCTGGACTCTTTTCACTAAGCCATTCCTGATTAGGAGCCAGGAGAAGGGATTGCAAAGTATTGAGAGCCAAAAAGCAAATCGAAATAAAGATGTAGCATCTCCAATGAATAAGTCAAGAGAAGATGATGCCTGGGAGTTCATAGCTGATTTTATTTTTTAAGACAGGGTCTCACTATGTAGGTGGCCTGGAACTTGCTGTGCAGCCCAGGCTGGCCTTGAACTTGCAATCTTCCTGCCTCAGCCTCCTGAATGCTGGTATTCTAGGCGTGCACCACCATGCACTGCCCTGATTTTCATTTTCTTTGTGCTTTTTCCTATTTTCCAAGCTTTTCCTATATTAATTTTGTAATTACAAAAAAATCCCACAGCTATTGTTAAGGAACATCACTGGTCCAAAAGGAGTCAGAGATGTGCAGCAACGGATGGCCACGGTACTCCATGCCACCAGTGATTCTTACAAGAAGAGTAGAGTGATAAGTCATTACAATATTTCTCACAAATTGGTTGTGACCAAGGATTCCAGAGACAGCATTTTCCCATTTAAATTGGACACATTTTTAATTGTCATATGGAGGTAGTCTATTGGCATGATACTATTAGTTCGATATAATGTTAATTAAATAACAAGAAAGCCTGTACTTTAAAAAAAAATCAAGTACCAAGTTATGGCTTAAGTGTCAAGTATGAGGAAACAGGGAAATCAGCTGAGACTTGATGGTGATCAATTTACCTCCAGAAAGAAGGTCCAACTCTGGCAGAAGTGAGCTTTGCCACAGAGGGAAGTTCGGAAGAATGGCTTGACTCTAACAGTGGTTTAAACCTGAAAGGGCACAGGCAGGATCACCAGTGGAGTTCCGACATTCAAGGTAACATGCACCAGCCTGGACATACAGTAGTCTCCCTTTATCCATGGGGTATAAGTTTCAAACCCCCAGTGGATGCCTGAAACCACGGACAGATAGTATTGAACCCATACAGACCATGTTTTTCCCATACATGCACACCTATGACAATTTAATTGATAAGTATAGTAAGCTATTAATAATAATAAAATAGGACAATTGAAATCATAAAGTATATAAGTTATATGAATATATCTCTCTCAAAATATCTTGTATTATACTCACCCTTTCTTGTGGTGGTGGAAGAGGATAAATGCCTACGTGATGAGATGAAGTGAGGTAGTGAGCAGCATGAGGCTACTGGGTTAAGAGCACTGCAATATTGTGACAATCTAACAACACACACGGCTATTCTGTGACTAGCAGGAACTGTACATAGCGTGGACACTTGAAAGAGGGACGATTCATAGCCCAGGCAGGTCAAGGTAAGATTTTATCACACTACTCAGAATGGCACACAATTTAAAATGTATGAATTATTTCTGGAATTTTCCAATTAATATTTTCAGACTGTGAGTAACTGAAACCAAGGATGGGGCGGGGGGAACTACTGTACTGAATGGCCAGAACTTCTAGGAGTGGAGTCCAAGCATAGAAGCTTTCGAGACTTTTCCCTGTTGACTAAAGGCACACTCCATTTAAGAGACACTGCTTTAGAGCAGTAGTTCTCAACTGGGTGTGACTCTGCTATTCAGGAGACATTTGGTGATGTCTGAAGACATTTTTGATTGTCAAAACTGGAGGAATGCTGGCATCAGTGCACAGGACAGCCTTCCACAACAAAGAACTGTCCTGCTTAAAATGCTAGGAGAGCTGAGGGTAAGAAGCCTAGCTTTTAAAAGAGGCCTATAGGAGGTAAGCCAGGTTGCTGATTCACTTCTGAAGGAATACTTCAGGAACAGAGCAAGTGACTGCTCTGATGAGACAGACATTCTCCACAACTGGTCTCAGTTAACAAGGAAACAAGGCAGGAGCACAGCTAATAGAACTCGGGTAGAACTTGTCAATAAAAATGTTTGTTTAAAGCAGAAAACAGCTGAAGAGATCAGAATAACTATAAACTTCACCTCTGCACTGTTTAATACAGAATGAACTCCTCTACTGACATAAGTATGTCCTGATCACTAATATGACATTACTCTGGAGGCTCTCAATTTTTTGAACAGCTGTGCCAACTAGCAACCCTAAGATCCAAAATGGATTCATTTAGCTAAGAGACAAAAGGGGAAATGCTACAGTTTAGCAAGTTTTAAGAGCCTATCTAAAGTTTTAAGTCACAATCTTCAACAATGGGAGCAATATCCAGAGTAGCACTAAATTCCTTTTTCTCCTGCCTGGTTCTTTAGTTTTATACTATCTGGTACAGTATGCATTTTTTAGTGTTACAAATATATTCTACTCTATTTTATCCCATGATTTCCATTACTTTTAGATATGGTCTACTAAAGGGGAAATGTGTCCCTTGGATTATAATAAAAAACTACTAAGAAAAAGCAAGCATCATATTTATAGTAAAATAACTGATAAAATATTAAAATGATTAATATGATTTAAAATAATTTAAAACTAGTAAGTGCTTAAAATTTATGATTAAAGTTGGAGAATCATAAATTGGTACAGAAAACATGAAAACAGCATGGAAGTTTCTTTAAAAATTAAAAATAGAGCCAGGCACTGGTGGCTCATGCCTGTAAATCCAGCTACCTGGGAGGCTAAGATTATGAGAATCAAGGTTTAAGGTCAGTCCAGGCAAATAGTTCACAAGACCCCATCTCCAAAATAACCACAGAAAATGGACTGGCAGTGTGGTTCAAGCAGTAGAGTGTCTGTTCTGCAAGCCCTGAGTTCAAATCCCAGTCCCATCAAAAATTTAAAAAAAGAACTACCATATCATTCAGCAAACCTACTGTGGATATATATCCAAAGGAAGTATATAGCTAGAACCTGAAGAGACATCTATACCCCATGTTCAGTGCAGGATTATTCATAAAAGCCAAGACCAGAAATAACAAAAATGCCCAATGATGAATAAATGGAATCAATTAATTAAACCAATTTAGAAAATATAGGGCTAGTAGAGTGGCTCAAGCAGTAAGAGCACCAGCCTAGGAAGAATGAGGCCCTGAGTTCAAACCCCACTGCCACCCAAAAAAAAAAAAAAAAAACCAAGAAAATGGTATATAAATACATTAAAAAAAGGAGGAAATGTTGCCATTTGTGACAACATGGATGGACCTAGAGGACATTATGTTTCATGAAATCAGCCAGGACACAGAACAAATACTACATGATACCATTTACATGATTGATCTAAAAGAGCTACACACAGAGCCAGAGAGTGGAATGGTGGTTGCAGGGGATGGGGGCCAGGAAGTATTAGTCAAAAGATTACAAAGTTTAGGTTATAAAAAGTGACTAAGTCTATAGATCTACTACATATTATAGTGCCTAAAGTTACATACTTAAAATATGAAAAGGTAGATCTTATATATAAAGACAAGACAAGGAAAAAACTTATAGAGGTGATGGAGAGGTTGATGGAATAGACTGTGGTGATGTTTTCACGGTTGTGTACTTAGCTCCAAACTCATCAAGTTCTAAACATTAAGTATATACAGCTTTCTGAATGTTAATCATATCTCAATAAAATAGCTTAACATTTTAAAAAGTGTACAATCAAGGGAATTCGAGTTTTTTGCACTTTATTATCATTTTAATCTATCAATTTTTTTGCATTTATCACCATCTCTTTCTGGACATCTCTATCCAGTGAGACTGGAAGAGTTCAGAACTTTCTTTACGCTCTATTAATATGCCCCTCCCTAATTCAGAGAGAAAATAGACACCACGTGAATGCATTCTCAAGCCTATACTTTTCTCCAAACTTTTTGAAAAGTTTCAAACTCCTGGAAAAACAGAAATAGTACAACACACATTTACATATCCTTCGCTGAGATTCATCAGTTGTCAGTGTTTGTCCATATCTGCTCTGTTTTTATCAGAATCATTTGAAAGTTAGTTGCAACACATCATGAAATAACTTTCTAAATATTTCAGCATGAATCTCCTAATAAGGACATTTTCTGTATAACTATTGGCATTATCATTTCCATTAAAATTAGTAATTCTCTAATGTTATCTAATATTCAGCCCATAATCACACACACACATATACACACATATCATATACCTCTTTTAAGATCCAAGATCCACAAAGTATACTATATACATATATGGAAATATCACAATAAAATCCCCCACACTATACAATCAATATGAGCTAATAAAATGTGAAAAAAATCCAAGATCTAATTAATGATTACATATTGCATTTGGCTATTCTCTGTGATCTACTTAATACAGAACAAGTTCTGGCTTTATTTATTTAGGTCTTTTGTGACTTTGACATCTTTGCAGCAGAAGTCTCCACATTTTAAACTTATCTCTACCTGCTGCTATCCTCACTTTTTCCAGTCTCTAATATTAAAAAAAAAAAAAAATCCTTCCCTTCTAGATTTCCAGAACTCTATCTCTCCCTCTCTTCCTTCAGAGACAAGCTGGGGACGGGGGTGGCGTTCACCTCACTTACTATCTTGCTTCTCAGGTCTCCATTCATTTATTAACCTGCTGAAATCATATTTCTGTCCCATCACTCTGATATTGCTCTAAGGTCACCAATTGCTTTCCAAATGCCAAGTCCAATGGATATCATTCAGTTATAATTTTAGCTGACCTCTCTGAAGCAGCTGTGTTACTACCCATTTTCACCCTCAAGTGTTCTCAAACTTTGGCACAATTCTCTTGTTCTCCTGCCAAAGGCTAGCATTCATCACAGTTGTCCTTGACTTTCTCATTCCTTTCATGGTTTTAACCACAAACTATTAATGATTCCCCAAATCTCTACTTTAGTCCACAAATCTCTCTGGAGCTTGAAACCCGTCCACTTATTTAAGTACCTACCAGACACCCTGATCCAAATTCCCCAGTTTCTTATATGAAATGTGTCTATAACTAAACTTACTATTTTTCCTCTTCAACCAATTCCTCCTCTTGTATTCACCAGTCCTCCAAATTAAAAATCTCTCCTCTTTCTACCTCATTCCCACCAATATCACCTCCTTTACGGGCCATCACAAAGATAAAGTTATTCCTTCCAGCCCTCCTTCCCCTCTACCTTGTCCACAAATTATTTTTCTGAAACACGTATTGGTTCACATTAAGTACCTTCCAAGACTCCCCATCTTCTGAGGGGCATAGTTTAGCATAGTGGTCAAGGACACAGTCCTAGAGCTACAAAAAGCTGCATGCAACTCTTCCGGTTTTCCACCTACTGTTTAGCCACATGTCACTACTTATCTTCTCTAAGTCTTACAGTTTCATTTATAAAATGAGGAACATTTGCACAATGATAAGAGGATTATAAAAATGATGTGTAAAACATTTGTTCCAATATCAAAATAAATTACTCAAGAATAATTTTTATAAGATGAAGTCCAAATTACTTACTATGGTTCTTCATGAACTAATCATTGTCTACCTGTCCAGTCTCATTTTCCATCAGTCCTTCCTCATCGTCTACACTCATGCTTTTTTCCACATCTTTCTGCTCTTGTATGCACAATTTCCTCTGTCTAAAATGCCTAGTCCCCAGTGCTTTGTCCAGTAAGTGAACTCTATGGTTACCCTTCATTTTGCCCTTTGAACCTTATACAATGCTATCACTTTGTATTACAAAGGTACTCCCCACAATAAATTGTAAGTTTCTTCCTCTTTTCCCTTTTTTTTTTTTTTTTAAAGATGGGGAGGGATTGAGACAGAGGCTCTCTATGTAACCCGGGCGTCAAACTCATGATTCTCTATCCTGTCTCCTGAGTACTGAGATTAGAGTGCACCACCATACCCAGCTTAATTATGAGCTTCCTGACAGCACAGATGAATGGAGAAAATAACAGCAGAAACACTAAGAATGAATATAGGAATTCACCTCACACATGGACCTGATCAATACTGAGCAAAGTTATACAGAGAGCCTAAGGTTACCATTCTGTTTGCAAACTGAATGTAACTAATGGTTTATTCACGTTACTTTTCTTTGTTCGCCTTTTTCTTTTTTTAATGCATCAGTGATGAGAGTTTAGTGAGCAGGTTCAGAAGCTAGCACTTGTACTTTCTTCTAGTGTTGTAGAGTAGGCATGGAGGTACACTGGTTCTTCCTTTCAGTCTAACGCTTGTCAGGGCAAGCAGCCTCTTTCTGGTATGCAGCTGAGCTATTTGAATTTGTTATCACAATTGCAAGACAGCAAAGGTGAACGCAAGGGTTGGTTGGCTGGTTTGTTTTGGGGGGAGGGAGGCATATTGCTCCCTAGAGGAAAATTACGACAACTCAAATTCAAGTAAACGAACCTATTAAGGAAGAAATGTCTGTAGGAAATTCCACCGTGGGAATTACGAAAGCAACCAGAAAGGTCAGAATACTAAGCAGAAGGGAATAGTCTCTATCACAAGGTGAATGACGACTTTAAAAGAAACCTATCTTAAAATACCAAAGCTATGCAGATTCAGACCTGAAGGTGTGGCCTGCACGGTTAAGTCTTAAAACCCTAGGGAACGCGAAGCAGGCGAACTTCCATGTACTTTACAAAAGACGATCAGAAAAGCTCACTTGCCCGTGCCAGCACATCGCGACATTCCTTTCCGAAAGGAGACGCACGTTGTGCACACCAGTCTACGCTTTTTTAAAGAACTATTTTCCCCTGAGCAATTATTAGGGAACCATGCCTCGGAGGGGGGCGGGGACTGGACTGTCAAATTTGTTGTACATATAATAAAAAGAACTCTGCGCAGGACAGTGACATCGGGCTTGGCTGCACCGCGAGCCAAGTTCAAACAGGGTCGACCTCGTTGTGGTCTCCTCGGCGGAGCCAAGGAACGAGCGAGGTCTTACGGGAGTCAACCCCGAGGGAGCCGCCAGCAAAAGAGGAAAGGCCCGGCGCTGGGGTAAAAGGTGGCGGCAGCGGCGAGGGACGGGCTGCGCGAGAATGTCACAGACCGACACGGCGGCGAGGCTGTCGCGGACCGCCTCCCCCTTCCCGGCCTCGGGCCCCAGTCACTCACATACGAGCCCGCGCCCCCTCGGGCTCCTCCCGCCTCGGGAAACACCAGCCGCCCAGCGAGGAGGACGGGCCGACAACTTCCTGCTTCCGGGAGCGCCACCCGGAAGAAGCTTGCACGCCACAGCCGAAGCTTGCACGCCACAGCCTAAGCCGCACGCCCTGCTCTTCCGCCAAAAACAAAGCGCGTGACGCCGCGGCGCGCACGGAAACTCTCGCGATAGCTGGAGAGCGTTGGTTTCTCGCGCCCCCTGGCGTCCATCCTGGGATCTGCATCTTCTACCTGGATTGACACAAACTTGAGGGCTGAAGTGCTTCATTCAATTAGCACTTATTGAGTTCTTCACTGCGTTGGGAGCGGGAGGGATAAATAAATGAAGAGCTCCTAGTCTGAGGGAAAGACAAACAAATCACCTAGATTTACAGTTAGAACACTCATTTATTATTTATTGAGAGCTTACTTTGTGCCAGGCATTACTAAGCACTTGACGTTCATGACAACAGCCAAACTTGAGATTTATGGAGCGGTCAACTTACTGGAGAGTTCTCTTACAAAGCGTGAAGGGGTCCGCATGTGAGCCCAGACTCCTTCTCCTGCCATGTCTGTAATGTCAAAGGTCTTAACTGCTTTCTACACACAGATTACTGTTGGGTTCAGACTAACAATGCCACAGCCCCAGAGGCAGCGTGATGGTGGTGCCCGGGAAACCGGTGAGACAGAATAAGGAGCCCAAAGCAAAGCCACACGTCTAAGGAAGCTTGATTTATGACAAAGAGGCACAAGGGAGGAAAGGATGTTTTCAACAGTGGTGCTGGGTCAGTTGTGATTGATACCCATCCAGCAAAAAATTAAATTTGACTACTACCTCATGCCATACAGACAGATTCTAAGAGCACTGTAAATCTATAGGAGAAAAAAATAACCAAAGCTTTAATGCTGCTTGGGTCCAATACCACTGCTGTGCAAATGACTGGTGAGCCCTGGAAATGTGGCTGTCAGAATTAAGATGTTCTGTGAGAAAATTAATACATTGGACTACATTAAAATTCTGATCATCAAAAGACACAATTAAGACAAGAGGAAGAGTGAGAGAAAATAAAGAGAGTGTGTCCAGGATATATTAACAATTCCATAAATAAGGGGTTGCGGGTATGGTTCAAGTGGTACAGCGCCTGCCTAGCAAGTGGAGGCCCTCAGTCCCACAAATAAATAAAATGGAATTCTACAAATAAGAAAAAAGCAGACACCCAAGCAGAACATTGGGCAGAACATTTTAATACAAAAAGACAGTATCACAAAGAGGGTAGAAATCTGGTCTTCATGAGGTGATTACTCCTGCTCCAGGGTACATCCTCTTCATTAGAAGTCATTGTCCTCATTTGGGAGGGGAGGGGTCTGTCCTGTGAGGGCCTGCTGTTCCTTCCTTGGGAGGTTGTTTTAGCTTTTGTCACAAAGATATTATTGATCAGTCCTGTCTTTCCTGGAACACAACATAATTACAGAATAGAGAGACTCAAAGTAAAGGAGACAGATGTAAAATGGAAGCAGGGAGCTCCAAGCTCGTATCTGCTAAGTACTTGTTATAGTGTGGTGACCAATATCTTTAATCCTAGCACTTGGGATGCTGAGACAGGGGATCACAAGTTCCAGGCCAGCCTAGACTACATAGTGAGACCCTGTCTCAAAAAAAATATTCATAGTAGCAGCATTATTTGTTAGAGGCACAATTTGGAAACATCCCAAATGCTCATTAATTATAGAATATGTAAATACATTGTAGTATACAACATTGCACAGAAAAATGAAAAATGGCCATTGCACACGACGACATGGATCGATCTCACAAGGTTAATTGAAAGCAAAAGAAGTCAGACACAAAAATGCATATTTTACGACAGCCTGAGAAACATTCTCTGACTTTCCAAACTATGGTGCTCAAGGGAAAAACAAGTTTGATGGTCTAGGTAAAAGGAATGGAAGAAAAAGAGAACACTCAAGAAACACTTCCAAAAGCCAGGCATAGTGGTGCAAGCCTGTCAACCCACTCCTAGGGAGACAAAGGCAGGAAGATCATGAGTTCAAGGACAGACTGGGCTACAAAGCAAAAGACCTCCTCAAAAAAAAGGAAGGAAGAAAAAGAAAGATTTCCAATGTATGACTTCCAAGAAAGGCTGCCTAGAGAGGAAGGACAGGAAAAGGCCTAGGTTCCAGATCACATTAAATATCAGTAGACCCTGGCGCTGGTCACTTCCTGCTGTTTGCACTCCTCCACTGTAAAACCTGGCCATTGGGAGACTTAGAAAAGATACTGGCAGGAAAGTTCTTGGTAAACTGTAATGTGGGAGGGAAGGGGGCTGTGGCTGAGAGAGCAGAAGGAATCAGGTATGTCTGGTGACTAAGGCAACAGAGGATGCCTTGGTTTGGGGAAGAAGCCAGAGAGGGAAGTGACAAGCAATTCTGACTGTTTCTTTAGTGGGCTGAAAGGAAAGTGAAGAAGCTGTTAAGAGAGATTGAGAAGGAATCTGTGACCGTCATCAGCAGGTCTTTATTGGGGAGAGGAGACCTGAGAGGGACCCTTGGCCATCGGAGTAGCACTCTGAGAGGGGCGAGAGCATGCCTTTCTTACAGGCTAGGGTTTTAAACATCCTGTAGTGGGGAAAGGGAGGTTGGAGGGGGATGGGCGTTAGGTAAGATGGCTGGGAAGGAGGATGGGGGAGAGTCTGGACATTAGCGGGAAGGTCATTGGGGTTGGGCAGGTATGCATGTTGTTTTCTTGACATTCCAGCCTTTGCAGTTTCAGTGTTTCTCAACATTCCAGCATTCCAGACTGTTTGATATATATATGTATATATATATACACACATATATATATACATACATACATATATATACACACACACATATGTAAGTAGCACAGGAGTGCCGCCTGTCTTCTGGCTACTTCCTGCTGGCTAGGGGGCGATGTGGGCATTGTTGAGCCTGGAGAGTTTGTAGAAGCATGATGGCCTTGAACTGCTCCCCTGAGGTAGCCCAGGAAATGGCAGTAATATGTTATGTAAAAATTTTTGGAAGGTATTAATGAGGCATGGTAGGAACATTATAGCCAGACAAACAAGGATGAGAGGGACCACCAGTGGGATGAGCCATGGGTACAAGGAGGAAAGAATATTCGTAGGCTATGAGGATGTTAGCCATGAGGAGAACTAATCCCCTCTTGTTCTAAAGGAAAGGTCACAATGGGAAAAATAAGGGGTCCCAGTAGAGGGAAGACCCATGACATCCACTTAGCCCAGGAAGGCCACTGTTCCCAGCTGTCTGTTGTTCATTGTTGGAGATTGGCATCTAGTTCCTGAAGTCTCTTAGCAGCATCATGAATGATCCTTGGCTGGCTGACATAAAAGCAGCATTGACACTAAAACAGCATTCTTTGGACATGGTTTGAGTGGCAATCTGTCTAAAGGAATGCAGCCTTTGGAAGACAAAGTGAGACATGCAGTTAAATACACATGGGCCAATGATTATCAGCATGATAAGGAAAACCAAGGGACCTTGGGGTACAGACCTTGGCTATAGGTGTAAGTAGACAAAAGAACTGGGGCAGGGGACAAAGTTATGTACAGCAAACAGTTCCAGCCACAGGTGTGGCCTGGGTGGTCATTACCTCAGTCTTTGTTTTGGGAGAGGTTCCAGAGTTGTTATCTGCAGGGTGTTCTGTAAAAGCAGTTTAAGTCTAAAACTAGAGACACCTTTATTAAGTAGAATACAGAGGAAGTAAAAGTCAGAATGCTCCCAGTTAAAATAGACTGCCTAAAGGAAAATAACTCCATGAAATGGACTACTAAAAAGATAAGTTTGGAGCCAGCAAAAATAATTTGTTTTTTACTTAAAAGGAAGGCCTTGATCAAAAATATGAGTTTGCCTTCTGTCAGAGGTGCCTGCAAAGGCTTGAATGTCCAGTAGCCCTGTGTAAGATCACTTCTTAAAATCTCTCAGCTTTAATAACTTTTGTGAGGTCTTGGCACAGGTGAATCAAACTGGATTGTGACAGCTTTCCCCTCTTGTCTCCAAACTGTCTCCGAAGAGTCTCCTCTGAAGATTTTGTCAATTCACTATTCTGGTTAATGAGAGTTGCTCAGTGCAGGAAAGCTTTTCCTGAATGTTCTTGGCATTGGAGGGGAAGCTTCGGGCAGTTCAGGTGGGAATCAGTGCCAATTAAGACCCATTTGGCCAAAGTATAGCAACAAAAGAGGTTGAGAAGAAGTGGGCCTACCTGGCATCCATTTTTAGTTTTGTCTGGACTATAGATGATAGCCTGACAACTTAAAAATGCTGCAGAATGTCAACAGACAACAGTTAAAGGTTTTGAAAAAAGCCAACAAAAGCAAATATCTAGAAGGCCAACGCAATTGAAAAATAGGTACTGGGTAGAGTTATTTTGGGGGTTTGATTGCAAATGCTCTGAAGAAAGATCCAGACTGAGAATGACAAGACTTAGAATAGCCATGGTTAAAATGATGAAAAGTAGTTTGGGAATTGTCAGAATATTTAGTTATTTCCATTGCAGACCGCATTTTTAGGGAAATAATTATGACTGACTGTATTAAAGCAGCAGCACTAAGTGCTCCTTGTTACAATTAGGAACACAAGTACACAAGCTTGCAAAACTCTAGCATGGTTAACTTTAGATCTCTTCAAGTTAGGGGGACAATGCCTGTGATCCCAAATAACCTTATTTTCTAATGTACAAGTATATTTCATACATACACAGTAACACTTAATTGATTAAAACTAATATAGACCAGGTTTTAAGTAGCAGGATTGCCCAAATGGCAAGGTTTTTCTCAATGTTACTGATTACAAACAGCACACCTGCCCAAAGTTTTATTAACCATTTTATATGTCAAAGGTTTTGATGTAATGCTTTTCAATAGACAACTTTAGCTGATCAGTAATGCTTTTGGATAAAAGGGAGCTTTAGCTTATCATCTTACATTAACTGACACTTTTAACTTTGCAAATGTTTGTACAATATTTAAAGTCTAGACACAGAACACAGTTATAAGGTGGTCATTTAAGAGACTTTGCATGAGAAAATATGTAAATGAACTTTGATTTAGTAGTACTTAAAGCTTGATAAAATCTTTCCCTATAACAGATTTTTGCAGATGTTACTCCGAACAGAACAATATTAGGATAGCCTTGTTATTATATGGGCATAGAAAATTAGATTTTAGTCTGACATGACCCTAGAAAATATCTTAGGCAACTCTTAGATTACAGTCAACTTTAACTTTATCACACACTGAAGCTTTTCTTATACACTTTTAAGACTTACTCAGAACCTTCATACAACATTCTGAGCCTTCTGATGGTTTTCCTTACCCATCTTTCCATATTTGGAACCATCTTTAGGACAAACCTTTCTTTACAAAATCCTTTCTCATTTAAAAGCACTCTTTTTCCCTTTAACTTTTTCCCAAAAATACACTCAATACCTATCTATATATCCTTTCTACTTTGTAACTTGTATTTTAAAATAACTTTTATAAGAATTTTAAATTTAAATAAAATAGTTTTTCCAATTAGCCTTATATTTTTATTAAATAGACCCATATAGAAAGGCAATTTTAAACTGTTTTTATACAATAAGTAACTTATAAAGACACCATTTGTTAGTAGATCTAATTATAAATGAAATGAACGTAAATTACTTATGATGAATTGAAACAGATTAATTTTACCGTCCATATAATAATGCCTATAATTTAGTTAGACCTGATTTATATCACCTTTGAAAAACTGGTTTTCTTAAAAGTAGCAGCAGAAGAAGTGGGGGAGAGAAGAGAACAGAAGCCTTTAATTTCTTTACATTAATTCTATAATAGGAATCACCCTAAAGATGTTTAAACATACGCATATGTAAAAAGCTTTAAATTAGGCTTTAGATTTACCTCTAGAGGGTGTTTCTAATAATTCTTAATAATAGTTTACCTTGGGCTACAGTAACTTTGTTATAAGCCCAAACTTTAAAGTAAATTTAGGGAACCTAGTCTTGGTATAGTGTTGGCATCCCATATCCTTGTCAGGGCAAAGGATACAGGATTCACAAAGGGATGTACAAGTCCATCCTCTTATTTTATACTAAAAAAATTGTTTTAAATTAGAATTTGTATGACAGGCTGGGGAAAGGGCAGAATGCAAGGTAAAAAGGATTTCATCTCCACTGAAACTGGTGATAGTAAGCATGGAAAAGGCAGAATGAATTAGCCCCTCAAGAGTTAATTTTAGGTAAGGGGTCTAATGAAAAAAAAATCCAAATGCCTTATTGAATCTGTAGCAGAACTCAGGAAGGCTTCCCCTTTGCCTTTTAGTTCATGCCATAACCTAGAAAACTGAGATTTTAATTTTAAATACATGGGACATTTTAGACAGAGAATTGAAATTCTGTCATTGGTTTTTCCAGCCTATGCTCACATGAGGCTGAGGTCGTGGGTCCATCATCCCAACTGCATGGTGCCTTGGCCAGGACAGTGAACAACCCAGCCCAGGATTCCTACCTGCAGTGACCTAGATATGACCTGATTCCCCTCCTGTTCTTGACTTGTGTGCAATGGGAAAACCACCCATCTCAAAAACAAGACTTAAAGAAGAAAACTGTTAGTAGAGTGTTAGGCAGAGTTAGAGGCTTAGTTTTTAGGTGGGAGACCAGGAGTTCAGAACAGAAAAATACCTCCAATCATTGGCCACATATCATTTAGATATCCAATTGATTTTGTTTGTAGTCCTGGGACCATGTGAGTCACTCAGGATCCTGAAAGAAGTGACAATGTGACTTGAGCAGGACTTTTCTTTTCCTTTCTCCCTGTCCATTTCTTTCTCTGTTGTCCTCACCTGGATGGCCAGTCCAGGAGAGGAGACAGGGTCTGGACATGGAGGGGTGAACGTAACCTCTATTATGGCTGAGACAGAGTTAGAGAGAAGAGTTTTAAAGTTACGTATTATTTATCTCTTGTGAAATGGGAAAAAGGAAAGGATGGCATAGAGCTGGGTTGAAGCCAGAGGAGGAGGTTTTAATGGTGTGTAGCTGGATGGTAAGGTGTTGGGTGGAAATCCAGCAATGGAAGATGGTCTCTGGTGGAGCTGTCAAAGAAAGGAAAGGATGGGAGAGTAGTGGAAAAAGGAGAGAGACGGGGGAACTGGGGAGGAAGACTCCAGCCTCCATTCAGGGCCCAAGAGTGAGCCTGGGAAGAGCTGCTGCTGTCACCGCTTTTCAGGTTGTGACAGTGGAGAGCTGGAGTCAAACCTACAAGCTTCAGCAGTTTGAACAAAAGGAGGGTTGGGACTTGAGATAAAAGAAAGCCTGAAGATAAGAGCCCTCTTGCCATTTGCTTCTTCTCACAGTAAAGCTGTCAAGGTTTCAGAGGGCACTGGGATTAAAAGTTTTAAAATTCGGCCATTTAGAGGAATTATCTAATTTGTATTGTAGTCAAATTTAGAAAAACGGATACAGATTTTTCATTTTAGATTGGCCTTAGGCCCAGTTTGGTAAGACTGTATAAAAGACACCCCAGGGGTGAGTAACAGGAAATCTTTGTGTGGGTGTTACCCAAGGCGAGGGTAGGAAGTTCTCCCTAGGGCATCCCCCAGATGGATGGAAAAACTGGAAAATGAACCTGGGATTGTAGATCAACGTCTCTAACCTACGTAGCCAGGGGCCAGACTTGCTGGGGGCCAAATGGCCAGAAGGTGAGAAGGGAAAATAGGGATACCAAAGGCAAGTCCAACACACCTGAGGCGCCATGGAGCATTGGATGGAGAGGCCAGGTCTTCCCCATCCCTGTAGAAATTGGAGCAGGTATTGAGTGTGCAGAGTGGAACCAGCGAAGGGCCCTGCAGAAGGTCGCAAAGGAATGAGAAGTTAGGCGCATATGTGTGACCAAAAGTTCAGGCCCCAGAGCAGTGTGGCTATTAGGTCAAAAAAGGCAACTAACTCGAGTCCAGTCAGAAGGAATGGTTGCACCTAGTGCTAGGCCCAAAACAACTGTCAGTAAGATGGGAGGCTCAGCAGAAAAGATAGTGGTGTTAGAGTCATATAGAGGATAGTGAGGTGGGAAAGGGGAGAAAAAGAGAGAGAGAGAGAGAGAGATTGAGAGAGAGGTTGGGTGGTTGGGGATAGAGGTGGGCACCAGCTGTGCCCCTCTGGGACCTTAGGTGCCTCTTAGCCTTAGTGCATCTGTATCAAGCCCGTCTGGAGACCTCATGGGGGACTTAGCTGGATGCAGGCACGTGGTAGGCGTTCGATTAGTTGTTATTAAGCGGTGTGCAGAGCATTTACAATGTTAGTTTATTTGCCATAATTTAGTTGCCATTTCTTTCTTGTCCTCCCTCCAAACCTCCTCCTTCTCTCTTCTCATATGCCTTGCCTTTGGAGTCTGTGAGGCAGGACAGATCAGGGAAAATGAGGCAGGGATTCACAGGTATGAATTGTACTAACAAATAGCTCGATTTAAAAGCATACAGATATTGTTTTCTTGGCTTCCCACTTCACAAGCTGAAACATTTAGTAAACAGAAAAGAAAAGAAAAAAAAGAAAAAGGCAGTTCTCTCTCTCTGATCTTCCCTGTATGCTCAAACTATTAGAGTGCTCGGGGAACTGAGCAACGATAGCTTGAAGAAAGACACTTATCCTGGGCAGAAAATACCTGGGAAAATGATTCCTCTGGGCACAAAGTGTCTAGAAAGATGGGCACTTGTCTTGAAGGAAGCATCTTTTTGTTCAACCTTAAACAGTGAACAGCAAAAATGATTAAATATACCAGGTGTCAGGGAGCACTCTTCCTGAGGTAAATTTAAGCCAAACTCCAACCACTCTTTCACCATCAGTACCCCTGATTTTAGAGCACTCATGGCACCTGTTATCAGATGTACCCGCACCTTCTCTGGGGCTGTAAACTATGTATCATCTTTCCTTTGCTTTGCTTTACTAATAAACTTTCTTGGTCTCTACCTCAATGTGTCCTAAAATTCTTGTTTTGTGTACCCAAGGGCCAGGTGGAACGTCTCCCTTTTGGAGACCTCCTTCCTGGGGCGTCGCTGATTCTCGTAACGCCTGGAGACTCATTTGCTGTGTGGGTATGGATCAACTAGTCGTGTAACTGCTGAGTCTCAGTGTTCACATCTGAAAAATGGGAATAATACTATCTACTTTGCAGAATTGCTTTGTAGGGGGATGAGATAAGAAAGTGCACGCGCTGGGTACACGGTACAGCTTCATACAAAAAAATGTCGTTACTGACACCTCTCAACCTCAGTTCATTTCCTTCCCTTCCATTCCTGCCAAAGCAGTGGGACCAAGGTCTTTAAATTGAATGTTGGGCGATCTCTCCAATCAGAGTGAAGACTTGGTGGTTGTTCCCGCCTTCTACGCCTAGACGAGCCAATCAGATCTTCCGGAGAGTGCTGCCGCATCTACTCTCCATGCATCTGGCCCTTTTCTTGGTCTTCGCGCCCCGTTTTTTGTCTCTTTTGCCTCGCACCTCACTTTCTGGCCATTGAAGGAGGGTTCTTCCTCTTCCTTGTCCCAGCCCCACAAATCCTGGTAGAAAGTGTTGAACGGCGGGAACCGGAAGTGTGCGCAGCAGTGGCGGGTTCCCAGCGAACCGACACCGGAAGTAGCAACTGCTAGAAGATTCCTCCGACTTTGTTATGGCGGCGATTCCCCCAGACTCCTGGCAGCCTCCCAACGTTTACTTGGAGACCAGGTGAGGGGGGTCCGGGAGGGTCGGGCCTCCGGGGCTGGGCTAGCGGAGGCGACCGGAGCCCCCGTGTCGCCTTGGGTTCAGCTTCCCGCGCGCTGCTCTTAGAGGCCGGGCTGCACGTGCAGGGCGCGAGCGGCGGGGGCGACCCTGCGGGCCGAGGGGACCCCAGGCGGCCGAGGGGACCCCCGCCCAGCCCCGCGCCCACTCGCGCGGAGAGCTGAGCGGCAGCCGCCTGATTGTCGTCTTCCCGCCCCTCGGTTCCCACTCATTCATTCACTCAACAGGCGGGTTTGAGTGTGGGATCCATAGGTGGAGAAAACACACAAGCCTTTGGGGAGTTTATGGTGATTGATAGTTATGCTGCATAGACAAATTAATCTAAAAGTACAGAAAGAAGCATTTTTCCTACCATCAGAGATTGCTAGGATAATGTGCACTGTGATATAATTAATCGCCATCCTGCCTGAGCCATGCCTCTGCTGTATGCCATATTAGCCTTCTTAGCAGCTCATAGCGTCCTCCAGTTTGAACAATTTTGTTTTGTTTTGGTGGGACTGGGGTTTGAACTTAGGGTTTCACACTTGGAAAGCAGGCACTCTACTGGTTGAGCCACACCTCCAGTCCATTTTGCTTTGGTTATTTTGGAGATAAGGTCTTGTGAACTATTTGCCCCAGCTGGCCTTGAACCTCCATCCTCCTGATCTCAGCCTCCCAAGTAGCTAGGATTACAGGTGTGAGCTACCAGCGCCCGGCCAGTTTTAGCAGATTAAATGACTTGACCACACAGCTAACACGCTAGGGAGCCTTGGTGGAGCCTGGTCTGTCCACCTGCCTCACCTGCTGGGTTCTTTGGAAAAAGCTCACAGTGATCTTTCCAAAGTAGACAAGGGATCTTGCTCAAATATCTTTAATAACTTCTTGCAGTTATAACTGTATAAAGCTTCATGTTTTTTTTTTTTCCAGTACTGGGGTTTGAGCTTGGGGCCTACACCTTGAGCCACTCCACAAGCCCTTATTCGTGATGTGGTTTTTTTGGAGATAGGATCTCACAAACTATTTGTCCTGGCTGGCTTAAACCAAGATCCTCCTGATCTCTGCTCCTAAGTAGCTGGGATTACAGGTGTGAGCCACCAGCACCCGGCTAAAGTTCAGATTTTTTAGGCTGGCATTCAAGGTGATTCTCCCCCCTTCCCCCTACCAAAAAAAAAAAAAAAAAAACCCACAAAAAACCTGGCCTTTGCCCACTTGCTGTTATGCTACCAGCAGCCAGGGGCCAGCCCAGGGCTCTTTGCCTTCTTTCTATTCTTGTCCCTTCTGCTTTCAACCAGAGGCAGAGTTGTCTCGGTCCTCTCTGTATTTGCTCCTGCTATTCTTGCCTCCCCTGTCATCTTCTCCTTACATGGCAACATGCTATTCCTTGACACTCCAGCTTGCAATTTTTGAATTCCCTCATTAGCATTTTCTTAAATGACAAAATACATGGGAAGTTAAGCATTGTGAAAGTGTATAGAGTAAGAGGTGAAAGTCACCCCTTCCTGGAAACTGAATGGTTTGTAGATGACCGTCCACATCTTTTTCTACGTACACATAAACGTCTCTTTTATATTTTATCTCTTGACAAAATTAGGATTATAGGAGACACACTTTTTCTGTGATTTGCTTTTTTTTTTTCTATTTTACTAACAACATCTAGCCGCCCATAGTATGGATGGTTCATACCAGTCATTTTCTTTTGCAAGGACAGTTAAGTTGCTTCTGTCTTTTGCTGTGACAAATACTGGAGTGAACATGCTTACACACGTTCTGTCTTTAGACACTTACAGAATAGATACTTGGAAGTGGAAATTACTGAGGTGTTCATGTTTCAGAATTGTAGAAATACTTCTGACTGTCACTCCAAACGATTAGTCCTATGCTAAAAATATCCACCAGAAGGAAGCTCCAGGATGGAAGGGTACCTTGACCGGCACCTCACCTTGTAAGGGTTCATCTTCGTTGAATGGTAGCAGTGTGACGGATGAATTGTAGGCAGAAGGGCTGTTAGGAAATAATTTTCTAGTACATTCCACCTATCTTTAGAGTGCTCATGCTGTCCTATACAGAGTCAATTCAGTTCTCACTCTTGGTGGGTGTAGAGTGTGGGGAAAGACGCCTGTCCTGTCTCTTGTTTCTTCCTTGTCCTTTGCATTACTAGAGAGAAAAAAAGCACTCAGAAAACTGGCTAATACAAAGATTTGAAGCAAGCAGGCTTTGCATTTGTTGTTAACATGCCCCTACACCCAAACTAACTACATAAACTACCTTTATTTTTCTATTAAAATTCTTTTGAATAGGTACGTGTATGGATCAAAACCCAAAAGTTTCAAAAGGTATTTGTTGCACATCATCTTGTCTCCCATCTAGCCGGTCCCTACCTCATGCATAAACAAACATGAGCTCACTGTACTTTAATGTGCCTTTAAAATTAAATATACAAGCCATGCATGAAGGAACATGCCTGAAACCTTAGTACATGGGAAGATGAAGCAGGAGGATCATGAGTTCCACGCCAGCTTGTGCTACATAGCAACTTCCAGGTCAGCTTGGGCTACTTAGTAAGACCCTGTCTCAAATAACAACAAAAATAATGACTAAATAAATCCTACAAGTTAAGGACTGGGTGTGGTGGCTCTCACCTATAATCCCAGCCACTTGGAAAGCAAAGATCTAGAAGATGGAGGTTTGAGGCCAGCTCACTTTAAAAAAAAAGGGTTAACAAGAACCCTATCTCAATGAACTGACCATGCTGGTTCACAGCTGTAATCCCAGCTACTTGGAAGTCATAGGAGGATTGTAGTCCAAGGCAAGTAAAAAGCCAGAGACCCTAGGGGTGCAGGTGACTCATTGCCCATAATCCTAGGTGCTTGTGAGACTGAGATTGGTAGGCTTGAGGCTCCAGGCCATCTGGGGCAAATAGTTCATGAGATCCCATCTCAACCAATAGCTGGGTGTGATGGTACACACCTGTCATCCCAGCTACCGTGGGAAGATAAATAGGAGGATTGTGGTCTGGGTGAGAGCCTATCTTAAAAATAACTAGCACACAAAAGGCTAGTAGCATGACTTAATTGGCAGAGTGCCTGCTTAGCAGGTGTGAAGCCCTGAGTTCAAACTCCCATATCACCAAAGAAAAAGAAGTACCAGAAGCTCCTTGTGGTTTAACTTGAGAGATCATCTGTCTTTGAATTACTGCATTCATACTGTGGGGTGTTTTTTTTTCTTTTTCTGAGCATGAAATCTGTTGGTTACCACAGCTTCACAACTCCCAAGGTTGAAAATCAAGAGTACTAAGCAGTCCCATAATATTCCTGTCTGCTGTGACCTTGTTCTTGACTGTAACCTCTCAGTCCTGTCCCCTGCAGCATGGGGCTCATTGTGCTGGAGCTGTACTGGAAGCATGCACCAAAGACCTGCAAGAATTTTGCTGAATTGGCTCGGCGAGGCTACTACAACGGCACCAAGTTCCACAGAATCATCAAAGACTTCATGATCCAGGGAGGTGACCCAACAGGGACAGGTACAGTTAAGCCCATTTCCAAAGCCTCGCTGTCGTAACTGGGTGGTAAGACAGCCACGGCTCTCTTTTCCACTTGCCTGGGTCTGGATTGGTTGATTCTGGTGACAGCTACAGTCTTCCTCAAACGCTCGTGGAGTTCAGAAACTCATCTTCACTCATGGGCTTGGTCAGTTTTCATGTATTGTTCACCAAGAGCAAATAGTATTTGCCTGAATTGTAGTGATGCGATTTTCATCTGACCAATCAGAAGCAAAAAAGTCATTCCCAATGTTTTGAGAAGAATAAATAATTGGGTTCCTTCATTGATTCGTTCATTTAACAGATATTGAGCATATGTTTCATGTCAGCTGCTTTTCTAAGCTCCAGGAATATAGCTGTGAGCAAAAACCAAATTCCTGCTTCTCAGCAAGGCAGGGAGAGGGTGTGGGTAAACCATTTTAGAGGGAGGATCAGAGAAGGTCTCTGAAGTGTTTTTAGAGCAGAGAAATGAACCTTGAAATTGGGAAAGAGTATTCTGTGTAGATTGGCAAATGAGCAGGTGGATTGGAGGTCAGGCAGCAGCCTGTGTGGGCCCTGCAGGGCATGGCAAAAACTGGGTTCTAGTCTGGGCAGATGGGAGCTATATTGGGTTTTGAGTAAGGGAGTGACAGCATTTCACCTGTGCTTTAAAAAGATCACTGGCTACTGTTGGGAGAATAGTTGTAGGGGCAGAATCAGAAGTCCATGTAATCATCCAGTCTCGAAATATGTGATTGGACTAGTTTGGTAATAGAGAAGTGATTGGATTCAGGTTATTTTTGTTAGAGGTAGGGTTTGCTGACAGATTGGATGGGTGGTATGAGAGGAGACAGTCAGATGACTTCATGGTGTCTGACCTGAAGAGTGAAATGGGGAAGGCTGAGTGAGGAGCAGGTTTGGAAAGGGGAGATCAAAATTTGGTATTGGAGCTGTTTGGGATAGCCCACATCTGTAATCCCAGCTATTTAGGAGGCTCTTGTCTCCTCTTGGAGGCGATCGGGAGGATTTACTTCAAGGTCAATCCCAGGCAAAAAGTTTTAAGAGCCCTCATCTCAACCAATAAAAAGCTGGGCATAGTGGCACACGCCTGTCATCCCAGCTACCTGGAAAGCATAAATAGGAGGATCATGGTCTAGTACAGCCCAGGCATAAATACAGGGCTCTATATAAAAAAAACAAACAAACTGACTGGGTGGTAGTGTCTCACACCTATAATCCTAGCTACTTGGGAGGCAGAGATCAGGAGGATCCTGGTTCAAAACCAGCCTGTGCAAATAGTTCGAGAGACCCCCCACCCCCAATCTCAAAAAAACCCAACACAAAATAGGGCTGATGAAGTGGCTTAAGTGTTAGAGCTCCTGTCTAGCAAGCATGAGGCCCTGAATCCAAACCCCAGTATCAAAACCAATATATTTCAAACATAACACTCCAACATCAAAATCTTCTTGGCTGTGTTGGGATTTGAACTCAAGGCCTTATGTTTCTTATGCTTGCTAGGTAAGTGCTCCATGACTTGAGCCATGCCCCCAGCCCTTTTTGCTTTAGTTGTTTTTCTAAGAGGTCTTTGTGTTTATCCCTGGACCAGCCTGACTTCAGTCCTCCTATTTTCTTTTCCCTGGTAGCTAGGATAACAAGCACTTGCCATCACTCCTAGCTTTTCCTGTTGAGATGGAGACTCCTGAACTTTTTTTACCTGGGCTGGCCTGGAACCTATATCCTTCCAATCTCAGCCTCGTGCACATCTGGGATGCAGGCGTGTGCCATCTCACCCAGCTGCTGGTTGAGAAGGGGGTCTCAGGAACGTTTTTTCCTGGGCTGGCCTTGAACTGAAATCCTCCTGATCTTTCTCTCTTGAGTAGCTAGGATTACAGGTGTGCACCATTAGTAGGCATGTGGAGTAAATAGTCAGATATGAATATGAAGCCAATCTGGCATGGGGATAAGGACTGGGGGTTATTGGCAGTTAGATGGGATTGATTAGTGAAACTGGTAGAATAGTTACTTGTTTCAAGAACCTTTACTTCTCACCTGGGCGCTGGTGGCTCACACCTGTAATCCCAGCTATTTGGGAGGCTGAGATCGGGAGGATAGAGGCTCAAGGCCAGCCTTGGCAAACAGTTCCAGAGACCCCATCTCTAAAATAATCAGACCCACATGGACTGGAGTTGTGGCTCCAGCACAAAGCCCTGAGTTCAAACCTCAGTCTCATTTAAAAAAAAAAAAAAGGTGCTGGTGGCTCACGCCTGTAATCCTAGCTACATAGAGGCAAAGATCAAGAGGATGGAGGTTTAAGGCCAGCTGGGTCAAATAATTCACAAGACCCCCATCTCCAAAATAACCAGAGCAAAATGGACTGGAGGTGTGGCTCAAGTGGTAGAGCACCTGCTTTGCAAGTGAGAAGCCCTGAGTTCAAACCTCATCCCACCAAAAAACAAACAAACAAACAAAACCAACGAAATTTACAGCAAAGTTGAGGAAAGAGGGAAGATTTCTCAAAAACATAGCTTCTAAAGATTTCTAACCACCTACCCAAAATTGGTGGCCGTGATTCTAGATGTTTTTCTTTTCAGATATCTAGTTAGATATCTAGTTAAAAGAATGGATGGATAAGTAGCTAAATGAAAATAATTTCAGAAGAATAGGCTATTTGGTGATACTGGAGTTTGAGCTAGGACCTCATGCTCTGTTGCTTGACCTATGCCTCCGCTCCCTGTATACTATTGTTTAAAAAGGCAAAAAATATTATATTTAATTTTGCATATATTGAACCAAAAACCCAACTTCCTGTTATAAAGGATGAGGCAATTAGTACTTAAAACTTTTATGAGTTCTTATCCCTGCACTGTATTTTTGTCAGCTTGATTGCTTCCTCTTCTGCTCCATGGGTCTGTATTTCAGGGATCCAGTGCTCACCACTCTGTTATCTTCACAGGGGGCAGGATTTCTCATCCCTTGATTTTTATTGCAAGCGCTGGAGGGTGTTAGATTTTTGAGTTTGTCCTTGTTTGAAAATTTCTGCCTGTTGCTTTTAAACTTGAAAAAGAAGGTGACTGGATGTAGTATTGGTCCCTCAGATCTTTTTAGATAATTATGGTCCATTGCCTTCTGGCTGTGAACATGGTTTTTGGAAAATACTGAGGCCAGATTTACTTGTTGCTTCAATTCAGGGAATTTTTTAAAATTTCTGTTTCTGAGTATTTTCTTTGGTTATACTTACTGGGTTTCTAGGGCTGTTTCAGGGCTGCTCACTCTCTCACTGTTAACTTTTTTAGAAGTTTGTTCCCCTTTTCTTATTTGGTTGGTGCTGAGGGTCTTCTGGTTTTTAAATCTTTCATGGTTTTGCATTCACTTTGTGGGCACTGAAGGCAGGCACTGTCCTGTAGCTGAAGTTCTGCCAGTTCTTCAATGTACCCCTCCTCTCTCCCTCTATTGCTATAATAAAATAAATTTTAATTTATAACACAGTGAACTGAGAGCCCATGGTTAGTGACAGAAACCGGAAGTGACTCAGATGTGAGTTGCTCATGCCAGACCCTCCCTGGTTTTTGGAGTTGGTTTGCCATTCTTCTTAACGTCACATTTCCATGTAATACTTTGAATGAAAATTGAATCACTCAGAAGGTTTCCAAATAACTGCCTTCAGCCTCAACTTGAATGGATGTTTGAGCAGCCTGCTGGCAGGTCTGTAATAAAAGCAAACACAAGGCAGGTTCTCCTGGGTCACTAGATGATGCCTCCAGTGACTTGGTGACATGACGGAGGCATCATGTGACACCCAGGCTCCTCTGCAAGTTGATGCAGTGTTTCCGTTCCCAGGGCCCCTCAGCCTGACTACCCATGAACTGGGTTCTTCCCTGGGTCTTCCTCTGATGTGTCTTGCTAGAGACCTCCTCAGTTCACACACCCTTTGACGTCCTGCTTCATTTCATTTTGAGCCATTTTTATACTTCACAATTTCCTGTATTTTTTGATGATTTTTTTTAATTTTGGAATTAGTATACAACAATAACACAAAGGGTTTTGTGGTAATAATTCCACAATGTACTTTGAACAGTTTCCCCACTCCTCACTATATTCTTGTACCCACCTATCCCCCACCCTCCACCCCTTTTTTTTTTTGTTTTGAGGTACTTGGGGTTGAACTTGGGGCCTTGAGCTTGCTAGGCAGGTACATTGCCACTTGAACCTCCCCCCTCCCTTTTTCAAACAGTGTTTGGTGAGTTTCATTCATTTCTTCATATGTATATATGTAACATGCGTCTGTTCTCTTCACCCTCTCCTGCTGATATACCCCCTCCCAGACAGGTTCTTTTACATTCATACCTCATCATCATTGTTACAGGTCTAGATTCCACAAGTAAGTGAAATGTGCAATACTTGGCTTTTCGAGCTAGGCTTATCTCACTCAGCATCATGGTGTCCAGTTCTATATATTTTATGCAAGTGACATAATTTTATTTTTCTTTATGGCTGAGTAACATTCCATGGGGTATGTGGGTGTGTGCATGTTCTATTTTCTTTGTTCATTGGTCCAATTTCCCATATTAAAATAGCTCAATGCTAGCTCTCTCCATGTAGCCTGCTGTGTGCCTTTTCTCTGTTTCTGCATCTTCCTCTCCTCCCTGTAAGGTTTTGTGTCCTTTGGAGTCCTTGCCTGAGGTCCTCCTGCTCTGTGCTTGGCCTCCCACTGCAGTGCTGACCAGCTGTTGGGATTTGATGATTAACTATATGCCAATTACCTTTCTGTCTGTTGCACTTCCCTGGTTTGGTCTTCTCTCCTGGTAGCCCCAGGATCACCTGAGGTCTGAGCTGCAGGCTCGTAGTCCATTTCTTTCATTGCACGCGTATTTGCTAAGAGTCTGCAGTGTCTGTCCTGCCCCATTCTAAGGCCTGTGAGGAGTGTGTAAGCACTGGAGGACAAGGCATTTTTGTTGTTTGGCAGTGCAGCCAGCCTTGCTAGGGAAGCACTACTCATTGTAAGAAACAACTGGAAAGCAGTACTGTAATAAATATGCAAATGCGCTGGCATGGTGGACTGTGTGTGTCAGACAGTGGAGTAATTCATAATCGGGGAGCGCACATGGAGGGAGATGAGAATGGCCAGGGGCATGTTGTAGAATTCCAGCTCCTGGGAGGTGGAGGGAAGGGCCTGTTGGACACAGGGAGATGAGTGGTACAGGGCAGGGCAAAGTGACAAAGGCAGCAGACTTGTACAGGACAGCTCACCACCCCAGCTGTCACGTCCTACTTGAGTGACTGGCTCTGTGACATAACCCAGCCACCTTTCCATGCATAGTACAAGAGTGTAAAATATGCATCCAAGACCCTTGTAAAACTCACGGATCTCCGTGCTGCATGTGTGGGGATCAGTACATGAGCAGTTTGGGGCAGAGGGCTCAGAGTTGTAGGAGAGGACATGGGTGGAGCATGGACATTAAAGATGGAGACCCCAGAGAGAGGAGTTCTGATTTGATCTGGCACGGTTCAGGGGCCATTTGGGACTCCTAAGTCTGGGATGAGAAGAGCACACAGGAAATTTAATCCAGCTGTGGCACGTGGTGAGGTAGTGTCATTTTGTGGTGCTGAGCGGAATGTGGGACCTGGGGCCTAAGCTCAAACTCAGGCTGCACATGAATGCATAAAACACAGGCCCGCCAGGCAGCCTTGCTGAGCCTTCTGACCTGTAGGTGGGGAGTGAGGTTACTTGAGCCTCATAGGGCATATTGTAGCAGGAAGTGAGCTGGTGTTTATGACATGGCTAGTAAAGGTTTAATACAAAACAGGAGCTCAAAGGAAGTATGATTATTGTTTACTTTGTTAATTCATTTAACAAATGTCTACGAGGCTCTTTGTATAGGCCTTGCATTGCTAAGAGCTGGGGATACAGCAGGGAGTGAGAGAGCCCTGTGGAACTCTTGTTCTAGTAAGAGAGACAGAAAAGAACAAGTAAGTACTCACTGTATTGTCAGATCGCAACAAATGACGTGGAAAAACTGTGCTCCAAAGGGCACATTCGAGCAGGGTTTTTCCACCTTGGCTGTGCTGGTGGGGACCAGGTAACTGTTGGTTGTGGGCTGTTCTGAGGATAGAAGGATGTTTAGCTGCTTACTGGCCTCTGCCCACTAGATAGATACCAATAGAACCTCTCAAACTGTGACAATCAAGAATGTCCTCAGACATTATCCAGTGTCCCAAGGGATCACAACCCCCCCCCAGTTTAAAAAAAAAAATAAAACACTGGGCTGGAGGAGGCTCTTTTGGGGACAGTGTGAATAGAAAAGGTCTCTGATAAGGTGACACTTAAGCAGACCTCTGAGAAACATGAAGTGGTGGGCCATGAGAAGGCGCCCGGCAGGGGTTCTCCAAATGGAACAGCAGAGGCCGCAGCCCAGAGTGCGCTTGCCAAGAAACAGTTCAGGCCAGTGAGGCTGGGGCGAGGTGGGGGGCAGGGGGCTGGAGATGACCTTGGAGGCGGGGGAGCTGCAGTGAGTACCGTGGATTTTGTTTTAAGTGATGAAGTGTTGATGGAGGATCTCAGATCAAGGCAGTGCCATGATCTGACTCCGTTTAAAGGGATCCCTGGCTGTCGTATGAAGAGGAGACCACTAGGAGCAAGTAGCCCAGAGGGAAGCTCTTGTCAGAGCTAGAGATGGTAGGGTCTTACTTTTTGCTTATCCTGGCCTCAAACTGCAATTCCACTGATCTCTGCCTCCTGAGGAGGTAGGATTACAGGCATGAGCCACACTGGTGTACATGGCAGGCATGGGGTCTTAACTGGATTTACCACACTGTTTCTTGCGTGAGGCGGGGTCCTCCACTTGTATGTGCAAAATACATACATGGGATAAATGTTTAAAAGAGGACAGAAGAACTTTGAGTACAGAGTAGAGAAAACAGGTCTGTGCCCGGGTCAGTTGTCTGTATGGAGTCAGACGTCCTGCCACAGAGCCTGTAGGCTATTGCCATCTGTGCAGCATGCTCCACCCCGGGACCTCTTTCATCACTTCCTGCCCCTGCCACCTCCCCTACTCCACAGGCCCAAAGGAGTGTTTGCATTGGGTTACTCGTCTTTCTGACATTTTGCTGCAAACCCCTCTGAGTTGAATGGGTTATGAGAAGAGAGTGTATTGTGAGTAAGTGGTGCTGGAGAGGCCCAAGCCTGTTGTAGTTGTCACACTATGCCTGGTGACTAAAAGGGACCTCATCTGTGACTATCCGTTAATGTCTCTTATTTGTAGTGACGTTTATGTGGTGGTTTTCAGACCCTAAAGGGCAGTGGCCCCAGCCTGTGGACTGTATCCTTTGCCTGCTTGCTTGTTGCTGCCATGGTCCTGCCTTCACTGTGGCCTCTGTGGCCCACGGCCTCTTGCCATCCTCATCTGTAGCACTGTGTAACTCAGGAAGGATCCACAACACCAGAGGTTACCAGAAGGCAGGACAAAGGCAGGGCCAAGTAACACGTTAGTTATGGAACGGCTGTTTGGAAGTGTGCTGTCTGGCTGCAGTCTTTGCAGTGGATTTTTACATAGTTTGGTAAAGTTCACTAACTTGCCAGAAGCTTAGGTAGACTGGGCCAGGAGGGGAATTTCCCCTAGTCAAGGTTTCACCCCATTCCTGCTTGCAGGAGAACAGCGTTTCCTTCCAGAAGAGGGCTTTGGCAGTCTCCCTATGGTGGAGAAGCCTAAAAGTAAAGCAAAGGACTTTTTACCATGAAAACACCTTAGCTCTGCCCAGGGTCCTGGTGTGGACATGGTTCTCTAACTAGCCATGTTTATAGCAGGCAGCACAGGGAAGGAAGCTCCTTGAATCTAGGCTGTTTTCTGGCTGCAGGCAAGCAGAGTAAGCTAACGAATCCAGTGTTCACTTTGTTCCAGGCTGTCCTGTCTTGGCTGTTCAACTTGGAGAAACTAATGTAGTTCTGCAAGGCATGTGGTTGACTAGATAATTGATTAATATTGGGAAAACTGCCTCCTATTCTGACATGTTTTCCTGTGGGAAAACAATATTTAACCAACCTACCTTCCTCCCTCCATCCCTCCCTCCCTCAGTAATGGGGTTTGAGCTCAGGGCCTACAACTTGAGCAACTCCGCCAGCCATTTTTGTGTTGGGTATTTTCAAGATAGGGTCTTGTGAACTATTTCCCTGGGCTGGCTTTGAACTGTGATCCTCCTGATATCTGCCTCCTCAGTAGCTAGGATTACAAGCGTGAGCCACCGGCACCAAGCTGCGCCTTATTTTTTATGAGATAAGGATTCATTACATAGGCCAGGCTGGCCTCGAACTCTGAATTCTCCTGCCTCCACCTCCCAAGCGCTGGGATTATAGGCCTGCATTACCACACCTGGCTTAATTTATGTCCTTTTGCTCTAAGAACAGAACCTACCTGAGCTTAGGGTATCTAGCCCTGTGCTGTTCTGGTTTTGACCTGCCTTTGTTTGTTTGTTTTTGTCTTGTTTTTCGCTATACCAGAGATCGAACCCAGGGCCTCATGCACACTAGGCAGATGCTTAACCCCTGAGCTGCATCTCCAGTGCCCCTTGTGCTGTTCTCTTGTGGGCTTACTTGGTGATGTTGCCATGCCTTGTTTCCCTTTACCACACATTTTTCCTTCAAAGGACTCAGCCAACTGTAACGTCAACCCTTTCTGCACGTCACCACTGACCACCGTCCTGTTTCTCTTTAAGCTGGGTAGCTTTGACTTATTTTTTCATCACCTAGGTTAAGCTCTGCCATCTCTCATCCTTTGACAGCGGCTGCCTGAAGTTTGGGTTAGTAAGGATTCGTAGGCAAGTCTGAGCTCAGCAGGGGAGAAAGCTGACTGCTTAGCAATGCCTGTGACGGGCACTCCCCTAAAATACTCACTGAAAGTCTAGAAACTTAGTAACAGCCTGGTTTTCATGGGGTTTAGGTTAGATTATAGGAGACGTCAATGTTCTTTTGACAATGTTCTGTGTTTTCTATACTTTTGACAGTGGACATGTGTTCATTTAATAAGCTGGGGGAAAAGAAGGAAACCAGTGATATGCACATGCTGGGTTAGTGCTTGCTTCTGTAGGAGTGACTTATCGAGCAGGGGCTAGATGTGCTCATTGCCTTTTCCTGATGAGCTCTGAAAACTTCTTTGACTGTGGGCTGGCTGGTTCACGTCTCGTCTTCTGATTGGGCAGGTCGAGGTGGTGCATCTATCTATGGCAAGCAGTTTGAAGACGAACTTCATCCAGACCTGAAGTTCACCGGTAAGTGAGCTCTGGCTGGACTAGGGAGGGAGAAGGGGCGGGTTTGAAAGCTTGCTCTTTTGGCTGTGATTCAAGGTGAATCCCCGACACTGTGGCATGGTGCCAGGTTGCTGCCCAGTGTGGCGCCACAAGAGCCCTGGCAGCCAAAAGAAAGGGGAGTCTCTTGTGAGTCCTCATCGGTTCAGAGTGCTGGGCTGAGTGTTCTTGTCCCCAACTACTTATTGAATGTCATAAGCTAAAGGTTATCTCAAGCTTCCTCAGAGAAGCAAGGGACTTCGCTGGTGTTTTGATAGCATGGGCCCGAGGTTAGTGGATCACCAGGTTGAAGCTGGGAAGACAAGGTTATCAGCCTAGTGCTGTTACGGCCTTCACGCAGGGCAGTGCTTCACGCAGGGCAGTGCTTCACGCAGGGCAGTGCTTCACGCAGGGCAGTGCTTCACGCAGGGCAGTGCTTCACGCAGGGCAGTGCTTCACGCAGGGCAGAATCTGCTCTGGGGCCATGCAGTTGGTGACAGCATCCTGTGCTGGAGCTGTGGGTGGCTCATCCTTTTTCCTCTCTTCTTTTCTCCCCAGGGGCTGGAATTCTCGCCATGGCCAATGCAGGCCCAGACACCAACGGCAGCCAGTTCTTCATGACCCTTGCCCCCACCCAGTGGCTTGACGGCAAGCACACCATTTTTGGCCGAGTGTGCCAGGGTATAGGGATGGTGAATCGAGTGGGCATGGTGGAGACAAACTCCCAGGACCGCCCTGTGGATGATGTGAAGATCATCAAGGCCTACCCCTCTGGGTAACCTTGCCGCCCTCTTGGGCATACCAGGTCCACCATGGTGGTCCCAGCCTGCCAGCTTCCAGGTGGCCTAGAGTGACTTGTAACTCTAAACTGCATTTTGGCCTTGCATATCCTGGAACTAAGGAAACCTGGGGTCTCTGGTGAGTTAGAGACGGAGTGTCTTTTAATAGGATGCTTCTTTTCTCTCTCCCTGGGGCCTAGGTTGTCAGGGCATTTGCAGAAATGCCCACATGTTCACTTCCTCACAGGCTCCTGTGCCCTGTGAAGGCCCCCCACGTTTCCTTCGTCTCCTTCCTGTGCATGTGTGCTCTGACACACTTGGAACAAAATGGAGCTGACTCGGTCGTATTACAGCTTCTCAGCAAACTTGTTCCTGGGGAGATTCATATTCTGGCCCACACTGCACACTCTGGTGGCTGACAGCCACAGAATTCAGAACCAAGTAGTGTCTATCAGGCTTGTTAACTCTGTGCACAACCCCCTGCAGTCTCCTGCATTTGTTCTTCCAGGAAATATGTGCATCTCATGTTTTCCTCCCCAAGCCAGAACATCAACACTGCTGTTCGGACACTCAAACATCCCACACAAAGCCACACTGAATTTTTGCCAGAAGAAAATGCATCCAACAATCAGGTTTCTAGGAAGGTGTCAAGTGGGGAATGCTAATGTGTAATAATTGAGAAATGAATTTACTAAAAGGAAGCAGAAGCATTGACCATTTTTTCCTTAGGAAGGAGTAGAAGTCTACCAAGCACAAGGACAGACAGACAGTGTTCTCTTAAGGACAAGCAGCACTGAGGGATTTTTAACCTAAGACATTAGAGATTTTGTACATTACGCTTAGAAAAGATCTTTATGTAATACATAGAAACCTCCAAAGTAAATGTCACTGATGGTTGAAGTCACTGCTGTGGTCTAAGTGTTTCTAATATCATTTTCCGCTTGGCCACGGTTAAGTAGTATTTCAGAGTTCAGGTGAGATGTCACATCATTTTACCTGGACCTCCATCAGCCCTCCCTGGTCAAGAGCAGCACTGACTTTAAAAGATAGAAGCAGGGCTGGCAGTGTGGCTCAAGCGCCTGCCTAGCAAGCTTGAGGCCCTGAGTTCAAACTCCGTACCACTGAAAATAAACAAAAAAAGGCAGAAGCAAAGAAAGAAGTAATGCAGTACCCGTTAGCATTTCTGAGGGAAGGGGATAAACTGTAGGTGACCCAGGTAGCTGAATCATCCTTTGAAATTGTAGGCGATCCATCTGTGTGTTTCAGTGGGGCAGAGGTAAATGTGTTGTGGCCTTTGCTTCCTTAAGCTGGTAAACTCCTTAAAGTAGGAATTACGTCAGTGTTTCTCATCACTATAAATTTTGGAATGGTTCTGTTCAACAAGCCTTCCCCATCTTTCTATCTTTTCTTTCAACAATGAAGAAAACCCACCAACAAACTATGTAAATGACTTTGTAACTTCCCAGAGATGGTTTTGGTGTCCAAAGTGATGTTTTACACTCTAGGGAAATAGAAATGCATTTCTTTGAGCTGGGCTGGGTGGGCATAATTGAAGTTTCCTCTAAAAGCAAGGGATAAAATAGCCATGCGCCACCTCCCATAATTATAACCAATCCCACGTCCTTCCAGGGCCTGGGTGTGGTAAAAGCACTGTTGCTACTTTGAAGAAAGAAATTCTGTTCACACTTGAAAAGAGAGCATCATAGCAGTTTCTTGTTTTTGGAAAGGTCCACCAGCCACAGGCCAAGGCAGTCATGAGCATAGGCCTGTTTCCATAAACAACAGGACCTCAGAGTGAAACTGCAGTTCTTTAACAATTTCTAGTGATTCTGCCAGTTAGCCAAGGGTACTTTCCTGGAAGGGGAGCTTATTTTAAAGTCCTGCTTAATTCTTATTTATTTCTTATTTTTGAGACACTGTGCAGCCCAGGCTGGCTTCAAACTCAAGATTCTCCTGCCTCCAGAGTATTGGGATTGCGGGTGTGCGCCCTGCTTAATTCTTTTGTCATGAGTGTTAGTTACTCTCTTAGGATAGAAACCATTAGGACAGGTCTCCTCACCGAGGCACGTACCAGTGCCCAGGCTGCTCATTTCAGCCATGTCTCAAATAGGCAGAGCTGAGGGTGGCTCTTGAGGAGACGGTAAGGATCAGTGAACTTTGATGGAGATTAGTGAAGATAGGTGTGGACTGCTGAGGGCTGGTCAAGGGACAGGAGAGAGCTTTGTGGGAAGGAGATTCTGACTGGGGAAGTAGATAAGCAATGAAAGAGGCTTCAAAGAAGTGCCTGGGGGCTGGGTAAGGGAAGTTGGCCCATGCACTGTAAGGTGTGTGGCCCCAGGGTGCTAACCCAGGGCTTCTCAGCAGGGCTCACAGATGGATTTGTCTTGGAGGCACTGATCAGGAGACAGTTTTTGACTCCATGTTCAGCCAGAGGTTGCATTTCGGACCAGCTCCCCAGAGACGGTGACACTGGTCCAGATACCACTCTTAGAGTAGCAAGGCCTGAGAGGTCACATTTGTCCAACATGAGACTGGGGAGGGAGCTTTTCCTGAGTGGGCAATCAGGCCTATAGCCCAGTCTTCTGCCTCACAGATGGGCACCCTGCCTCCTGAGGCCGGAGCAGAGTGAGCTGATGCACAGCACAAATGAGCTTAGTGCTCTTGCTTTGGCTGCCCCGACAGCAGTGAGGAGCAAAACCTTCCTGTTCCCATGCCACCGTGTGGTGCTGAGATCCCGTGTGGATGGTATGGGTGAGATGGTGCTGTCAGTCAGCATGGCAGAGGATGCAGGGAAGGGAGCGTGGCAGTGGTGGTTACAACATGGAAGGAACCATGCAACCAGACTGCCTGGGTTCAGACCGCAGTGCCACATGTGCCAGCACTTGCGACCTTGGACACATTTCCCAATTCTTTTATAGTTTCCTCAATTTTGAAATGGAGATGTGGTCCTAACCTCAGGACAGTTGTGAGGATTAAGTGAGCTAGAACAGGCACTTAAAACAAGAGAAAACACCAGCTACAGTTACCCTTGAAGCCACCATACGCCTCTCCTACCTGTTTTTGTTGATGGTAGTGTTTGTTTTTGGTGCTGGGGATAATACCTCAGACCTCATATGCTAGGCAGATTCTCTGTCCCTGAGCCACACCCCAGCCCCTCTCCTACCCCTGTACCCTAACCTGTCAGCCTGACTGCATCACCACCTGTGGTGCCGTACTGACCTCAGAGAAGAGAGTGAGGACCTCCGTGAGTTCTCAGCATCTGAGATGCTTTGGGGGCATAGCCGAATAAGTCATATAAAATGTTCTCCAGGGAAAGATGGAGATCTGTTGGCAGAAATAGCTGTACCCCAAGTCCCTGGCCCAGGCTTTAGCTGGCAGGGTTTGGCCTTTCCACTCAGCCCTCTGCAAGTCCTCAGCATGATTTATTTTTAGACTATGTCTCTAGAATATGTCAAAATAGCTTTTTTTTTCCCTGCACAAGGCAACAATTTCTGCCCCCAGATCCTGGAGCCAATATGAGTCGTCTCACTGGGATCCCCTTTGGCACCACACTGAGCGTGTCGGGGAGAAAACCTGGAACGCACAGTTGCTCAGGTTGGGATCTTACTGCCACAAAGCAGTGTGTGGCTTGGAGCCCATTCCCTGGAGAATGGGTCACTACTTTTAGGTAAATGCCAGGACAGGACAGAAGAGGGAAGCAGGGCACAGGGGAAGAAAACAGAATCTAAGATTTTGGCTTACTCTCTTTGAGAAACTGGGTACGCCCCTCCTTGTTCTTTAAAATTGGTCATTCAATTTTAGTATATGTGCTGTTGAAGTGAGCACCAAAATTGGTGGTTCAGTATCCCTACCGAGGCCCTTTTAGTCCTAAGTCTGCATCTAGGTCAGTCTGAGAAGATCCCTTCAGCTGCCAAGTTTCTACTTAGCATGTGATTTTGGAAATTTGCCACTAGAGGCCGCTGTGAGCACAGTTTAGCTTTGCAGCATCTTCAGAAGGCTGAAGCCTGCCAACGCCTTTCATGATTTCACTAAGCCATGCTTGCCTCCCCTTGGATGTAGAAACCCAGCGACTGCTCAGATTGTGAGTGACTAGAATTGGGATGTCAGCCCAGCACAAAGGAGCTGTGGAAAGGCTGCGGGCCCAGGACCTGGTGGAGAAGCCCTCTGTGTGGTAAGGTGGAGGAGTCCTGAGCCTGGGCCAGGTTCTGTAGCGTGCCTTGCCCTAAAGGGCTAGCGCTCTCCTGGCTGCTTAATTCATTCAGTGGCAACTTGGCGCCTCTCTTTTACACCCAGCACCAGCAAGGATTTTCATAGAGGCAGAGAAAGTCAGAACGAGCCTTAAATGAAAAGGTTATTGTGGCCCCTTCCGTGTTCGTGGACTCTGGGTGCTGCTTATTTTTCTCTTAATCCCCCTGTCCAGCCTCTGAGGCTGGCATTGCTTTGCTCATTGCTGGATGACAAAACCCAGGAACAAAGGCCAGTAGCACAAAGCCTTGTGCAGAATGAAGGAAGGATTGGAATAATGGGTACAAGGCCTGCATGGCTAGGACTTAAACTCGGGGATTTCTGATGCTAAATTTAGCTTTTTCCTCTTTTTTCTGTTATCTTTGCTTCCCCTCCTCCCCCTTGCAGTAACTGGGGCTTAAACTCAGGACCTTGCACTTGCTAGCCAAGCTCTCTACCACTTGAGCCATGCCACCAGCCCTTTTACTTTTCATTTGTTTTCAGATAGGCTCTAAGCTAACTTTGCCCTGGCTGGCCTCGGACTTTGATTTTCCTACCTCTGCCTCCCAAGAAGCTGGGATTATAAGTATGCATCACCAACCCTGGCCATGTGCCATCTCCAACCTTTGATACAGGAGGAAGATGAGGTGCAGAAAAAGAATAATCTGGTGGCAGGGTAGGGGTTAGAACCTCAGTGTGCCTGGCTGGCGGGGGCATCGCCTTGACTGCTCTCTCCTCGAGTGAGTCCTCAGACTGTGGGGGCCTGCAGGGCCTCAACCTGGCCTGTGGAGGCCCGAGGGGAGGGAGGGGCACACATGGCTGTAGTCATTATGGTTATTGGGTCATAACTGTATTAACCTCACCACTCAGCTCAGCTCAAGAAATCACTTTCCTCTCCATGAGGATCTGGCCAAGACTCCATTAAGAGCTGCAGCCCTGAGTACCTTGTTCAGCAGAAGTGGCGGAAGAGGAGTGATATTTCTACTTCCTCCTTACACTGATAAAGAAAATGGCCATTTTGCATTCACTGTATAAGGAAAGCCCCCAAAGGAAAGGGAGTCCAAAGTTCACAATTGTCTTTGGCAACACTCAGTTCTGAGAAAATGTTCCTTGTGTGCCTCGCTTTTTAAGCATTTGTGAGGCTGATTAAGCCCCAACAGGAGCAGGGAAGGAACTTGATTTTGGGGAATCTTGAGAGGTGCTAGCACCTTGCACTTGGCCCTGTGATCCCATTTAATTCCCTTTGGGAGGGTCTACATCCTGGGCTGGGCCTTGTTTGCAGACTGAGCTTAAGCTTGGGGCCTTCTCTGTCCCTCTGTCACCCTAAACTCACACGAGGATGGTTTTCTTACCTTTCTCTGCTCCCTCTCCCTGTAGCTCAAAAAATACAGAAACTGGGCTGAAAGTGTGGCTCAAGGTAGAGCACCTGCCTTGCAAGCATGAAACCTTGAGTTCAAACCCCAGTCCCACCAAAAAAAACAAATTGTAGAAACTGGTTTTCAAGCCAGGACTGGCCACTATGTGACCTTGTAAATGTCCTTCCCTACCCTTTGTGTGTATGTATAGAAGAAGAGGCCCGGATTCATTCTAAACTGCTCTGGTGTGAACATCGATGAGTTTATAAAGGCATTTTTCTTCCAGGGAGCTCCCAACACATGGCCATCTAACTGGAACCTCATAATGACTCTGAAGAGGTGGTGTGGAAGGATCTTTCTAGCCTCACTTGTGTGTGTGCAGTGCTGGAGATGGAACCCAGGGCTGGTGTACTGGCTTCTGAGCTACCTCCCAGCTTCGTTGCCCCCATTTTTAAGCTGGGGGACCAGAGGAACGGGGTAAAAGATGAGAGCAGGCAGAGCACCCTGGCTCTGAGGGACTGTCAGTAGCAGTCCCCAGAGCCTGACACCTGAGATCCCCCAAGACACTAATAGAATTATCAGAGAACTGGGAAACAAACACTTCCTGCAATCAGGGCAGCTGTTCTTAGCCAGCAGTAGAGGAGGCAGGCCATGAAGTGTGTCTCCGAGCCAGGGCCAGATCTAATAAACCCAGGGAAATCATGACAGGCTGCTGGACCCTCTAGCAGGTGTGTGCAGGGGCAGGACCACCGGGACCTTGGCTTCCACCCAGAGCCAGGCGCATGGCATTTTGTGCACGTTTCAGTTACCACCAACAGCTAGGCAAGCAGACACAGGCAGCTTGGCATGAAAAGCAATTTAGAGCTTTAGGAGAGAGAGAATTTCATC